TATATTTTTTGCTTTATATGTGATCATGCTTCCTTCATTATTAAATCCTGTTACTACTATTGGTGTTTTTAATTTTTCCCATTTATCTTCTGGTAAACAATTGTATTTACATATATTAGCTTCTGCTCCCGTATCTATTATTGGTGTATAATATCTGTTATAATATCCATCTATTGTTATCTTTGCAAGTATGTATATTTTCATACTAAGCTTCTTTTTATTATTACTCTTTTATTTTCATAATTTGTTGTTAACTGTTTGTCTTCTAGATTACATGGTTTTACTTGTTCTAGCCAACACTTGTCCATACTTGTCCATACTTGCCCATACTATTTTTTTTATATTTGTCCATCCTACTTTTAATATGCACATGCACACTACCTACTTTATTGACTATTTTACACTACATTTAATAATAAGACTAGTAGAATTTACAAGTGTCTTCTTTTTCTTATCTCCTTCCGTCTCTGTCTTCTTTTTCTTGTCTTCTTCTTATCTTCATCTGTCTTTATTAGATCATTCCAGCTGGACATCTGGAATTATATTATCTTCTCCGTTACATTTCGAACATATGTGATCAGGGTATTTTTGTCCGATTAACTTGCAATATCTGGTTAATAACTCTGTTGAAATAAATCCTGCCTTTAGTGCTCTTGTCATATGTCATTCTTCTGGTTTTAATAGTGATAAGATCCGTCGCTGGACATCATCCATATTTTCTCTTCGTAGTTCTCTTGAATTTGAATATATCATTAATTGATCTCTCGAGTAATAACTCCATATAACATTTCCGTTTAAATAATTGTTTGCTAACTCTTATATAATAGTTGATATACCAATTATTCTTTTGTTGGCATAAAAATTTGGTATCTCTATTTTGCATATCTCTTCCTGATGTCCGATGTCCTCGGGTATAATCATATCTTTAGTTAGTCCTATCTTGATAAGCTGTATTGGAGGTTTTATTTCCTCGTATAATATCTCTACTGGTGCCGTATAGAATTTTATGTAAAATAAATTTCCTTTTGTAA